CTTTTATAGTGCGTTTCGAGACCAATCGCTTCCCCCTCAGGGGTCAACTGCAACTCGTAACGTCCAAAGAGATTTTGGGAGCCCATTTTTTGACGAATTATTGAATAGTTTCAGTTGTTTCTCAGAAATGGTGAAGAACATCGGAGTAATCATTAGGACCTTTTCAATAGAGCATCTCGAGCACTACGCCTTTTTCGGAAATTCCAAATCGTTTCCAAGTCACAGAAAATGAAATTTTCGGAAACTGTGGTTTTTTCATTAGSTTAGATCAGAAATTCCTAACCTCTAAAGGGATTCAGAGCAATGAATTTCAAAATTTGACAGGCATTGGGGCAAAACACTAGGTGTGAGCGGGGCGAAAACGTCACGTGTGTCAACGCGCTAGACAAAGACACATTGTACCGTTGGCTAAGGGAGTAAGAGAGACGGATAGAATCGCGTTGGACTGACCACTGATCTGGGGTGTCTTTTACTGCTTTAGAAACCCAAAGTCTACCCTCGGAGAAGGTCGGATTTAAACTTCCTCGGGACAGTGGCGGTTACCGAAAAAACCTTGTCAAACACGCCCTGATCCAGTACAGACATCGAACCCATTTTTTCTCCAACCCGAAAAGTTATTGATAGTTCTCGTCGTTTTCCCGCGATGGAAATAAGGGATGCGAAGCGGAAAGCGGGATGATCCGAAGTTTTAGGGGGAACGTTTGCATGCATGCATGCGAGCGAGCGCAAACTCGCCCACCTTTCCGAAACGGGGATCGAGGTTGGGGAGAGGCATCGAAACGGGAGCATCCAAGGTATCACACTGAATTTAATCCTCTTAGAAAGGGGCCCCCGAGTATAAAGGACATCTTAATTCGGCCCGTCGAAATCCCTTTACCGAACGAAAATTTCGTTCGGATCGGTTTGAATGGCCCCCGATGTTGATGTAAAATCGGGACAGATGCTCTTGCATGGACGTGCTGCAGGTAAAGTCCACCAATCGGGTTTCTGTTTCAACAACGTCACTTGTCAATGACGTAGTGAACACGCTGATGTTTAGTTAACGGCATCCCGTGTGCGCTTTATCCGCAGCCCTCGATCGCACAAAAAAAAACGCTGCTGCGGGGAAGTTTTGAGAGATTTAACCCCTGTGAAAAGGCGAGGGAAAATTCTCGAAACTTAGGCACAGGAGAGGGCTAATTATTGCCACCCTTTTCCATATCCTTGATGCTACACTCGGGGGCAAAAGGTGGACGACACGTCGAGTAATATGCCTGATGTGTGTGTTCATGTACGTACAGTCCAGGCAAAGGATGATGGGGTGTGAAGATTCGCATGGGGTTTTGTGTTTTTATGACCCAAACTGATCCAGAATCTTCCCCAAATGCTGCTGCTGATGATGATGATGATGATGATGATAAAATGCCCGGTATTAGAGCGGTAGTTAAAGGTGGGTCGTTGGCTCAGTGTCGTGCTCGCAGGCACTTTCTGGGCGCAAATAAGGGAAACTTTCGTTGAGCCTGGATACGACGCAGGAAATTACACGTGCCCGACACGCAAACAATCAAATAACATTCCGAAAACATAAAGGAAAGTGGCAGGGAAAAATTGCCGCTTTTTCCCCCCAAGCAAAGAAATGAAGTGGGCCCGGGCACATTTTTCGGCTCAATAAAAATTCCTCCTTAACCATGCCGCAGCTCAGGCAGTGTCTATATTGTAATTCCCGTCAAAGTGCTTGCAGGAATTCCCTTTCAGAACAGTTCTCCTCTCTAATTGCGTGCATGGAAATCTACTACTGGTGTTTTTCGCGCTGTTGGGCCGAAGACGATTGAAGTTTCGGCAGCTTCACTGACCTTGTTTAGACTGGTCCAGTCGGGAACGTAGTTGACATCGGTTCTCTCTCTCGCACCCATGGCAGTCCATGGGCAGTGCAAGCTGGCCCGGCGCGGCTGCGTTCGAACTTGCCACCTCCGCCGCTTAAAATCTATGCGGTTTTGAATTGGAAAAAGTTGCGCCAACTGTGGACGACTTTTCAAACTATTAGCCAATAGTAATCAACTCTATTATAAAACAGTTCGGGTGATTTTGTGGTCGTTAGCATCACCCGACTATGCCCAATTGCATTTGGTCGTCCTGTTTGACTGGGCAAAAGTTTGAGTAATTTCCGTCCAATCCGCCTTAATGGCGGGCCGAATAACCCGAAAGATGTGTGGTCTGAAGAGGCCATCCACCTGTCTGCCTGATTACGTGAGAACAGATAGGAAGTCATATATCATCAGGCAAATCAGCCTTAAATTATAAGGGTCTGCAACGTTGGGAAAAATGATGATTGCTCAGGAGGCCGGGAATGTATTCATTTAGGCTGTCGATATGTGGATGATAGAGTAATTATTGTTTTGGGTTTGAACAGTGGAAACGCCACTCGATGCAACAACCGCGATATTAATAAGTTTTTAAGACCTCACAGTTTGAATTGCACCAACAAGCCCCGACCGGATCTCACTATCGGCATTTTAATTACGCCCGAACAGAACGCGGCCGCGTATCCATTTCCCGGTTCCTTTGGGAAATTTGGCCGGAAAATGGAATCGGAGAAACTCAAAGTTGCGGGACGAGCGTGCAATCGTTTACAGGCCCTCAAGTCGGAGGCGCTCCCCTGTCTTGGCCGAATGCTGTTTCGAGAATAATTCCGCATAACTTCAGCTCACTACTTGGACAGACATGGACGTGGTGGAGAATTACTCAAAGTGGCTTTGAGGGAGAAAAACACATTTATTTCGGAATGAATTTGCGACTACAACATGAGCAAAACAAAAGACTTGTAGTCACTGTTCATTAGTTTAATTAGCTTGGATCACGCGACGCCCATCATAGGTGTTGAGCATAAATATTCATCATTTACATGATTTTGAGGATTGGTTGGTTGCTGTTGGATGGCAACTGGCCAATTGGGCGTCCTGCCGCCAAATTAATACAGTTAGATAAGTGCATGTATATGCAAACAAGCGCATATTTATTCCATTCCATTCCATTTCAGTCCATGCCATTCCATGGGCATTTATGCAGATTGCGTGTCATTTCGAACATGTGTACGAATTTGTTTTCCATCGGCCGTCGATATGCCGTTCCGGTTTAATCAATGGGAATTTGCATAATGGCCGGTTGGCTGCTTTTCTCGGTTTTAACACCGGCGAAATGACACCTTTTCAGGGATTCTCACTACAAAGCGCACACCTTCAATTGCTTGGAATTATTCGAAATAGAAACTTGTAGAAACGTGGCAATGTTTCCATGTCAGAAGAGCAAAATATTGCCTTTTAACTGATGTTTGGTGCAAGTTTAACTGCCTTTGTGTTCGGGAGTTATTAATTTTTCAGTCCAGTCATCTTTTCCTGAACCAGTTTGGTCGGGCAGTAAATTGAAAAATTCGCCACAAATTGGGCAAGTTGGGGATTTTTACGAAATTTGCCACTAAAGTCGAGCGAAACGTTCTCTTTCCAGTGCTGCTTGGTTAGCTTTTCGTTTGCTTTTGGTTCGGAAGTTACGAATTTTTAAGTCGAGCAGTGTTTTCCAGACCCAGTTTGGTCGGACAAAAAATTGAAAAATTTGCCATAAATTGAGCAATTGGGGGATTTTTACGAAACTTGCCAACAAGGTAGAGCGAAATATTGCCTTTCAACTGCTGTTTGGTGCAGGTTTAGCTGCCTTTGCGTTCGGGAGTTACGAATTTTTAAGTACAAACATGTTTTCCAGAATTAGCCCAATCGGGAAGTAAATTGAAAAATTTGCCCCAACTTGGGGAATTTTTACGAAATTTGACAGTAAAGTCGAGCGGAACGTTTTCTTTCCAGTGCTGCTTGGTGAATTTTTCGTTTTCTTTTGGGTCGGGACTTACGAATTTTTAAATCGAGCAGTGTTTTCCAGAGCCAGTTTGGTCGGACACAAAATTGAAAAATTCGCCACAAATTGGGCAAGTTGGGGATTTTTACAAAACTTGCCAACACGGTAGAGAAAAATATTGCCTTTCAAATGCTGTTCGGTACAGGTTTAGCTGCCTTTGCGCCCGGGAGTTACGAATTTTTAAGTACAAACATGTTTTCCAGAATTAGCCGAATCGGGAAGTAAATTGAAAAATTTGCCCCAACTTGGGGAATTTTTACGAAATGTGACAGTAAAATCGAGCGAAACAAGTGGAATGTTTGCGAAAAATCCCTGATGAATCCCGACAATTCGAAATTTCTGGTTTTCGCAGAACGGACCTTTTTGCATTGGCTTTTCAGTGCGAGGCGAAAAGTGGGGCAATTGTCGCATTCAATAAACCTGAGCTTGATTTATAACAGCTAAACGTTTCGAATCATTGCCCTCATCAGGGACTTTTGCACGAATTTTCTCATAGAAGGCTTTATTTGAAAGGAGCGAGTTTTGCAACGTTTTCCTACACAGTCACCGTCTTCGAGCAGGAAAGACACCCGTTTCATGACGGCTGAAAGTTTCAAATTCCCTGATGATGATAATTCGAAACGTATGCTAACGTGTGAAGCGTTAAAGAGTTGGAATCGAATAGTGGTAGGGCCATTTGTTGATTAGGGTTGTTGGTTAATCGGGACGGGCACACGGCACATCATTACAAGCGAACATTAAATAATAAAAAGATCATTACAAAAGTGGAATTAAAAGGTCGTTTAATTCATGTCGATAACCGTCCGAGCGAATTTCGTTGGCGTTACGCCGAAAATTGTATTAACCAAATTGAAAAGTAATGTTTCGTGTTTTTCCTCGTCTTCTAATGGCTTATTAATGACACGCTTTTCCTGGCTGAAAAGCTTTCAGTTTTTTTCCTATTTGTTCGGCGAGTTTTTTTCCAGATAGGAACAACGGTTTCGCCTTAAAATCGCCCGATTATATTGGAGAAATCGCGCTTTTTGCCAAATTAATTGGCCGGCGTAATTTTTCCACTTTTCGGCTATCAGCAACAACAATGACGCACTTTGATCGGGGAATAGTGGCGGAAAAAATCCTACCTTCCACTCTTGGTGATCACCATTTCCGTGCCCAGCTTGTGGAACTTCTCCCAAAGGTCTTTGCCTTCGAGGGTGACTTTGGGGTCGTCCACCACCCCATCGTCTTCCGGCTGGATTGCACGCAACGGCCTCACCATTGCCGAATGGTGATTGTGCACAGCCTGAAAACGACATCTACTATGAGCAGAGGAATCGATCCAATTGCTGAACTGCAACTGAAAGTTGATGGTCTGTATTGACAAATTGTCGGAAAATGTTGGAGTTAAAAGCCAAAAAATTGCCGTGTTTTCCCGTTCAAATCTGGGGTGGATGGACATTGACATTCTGTCCAACTTTGGCCAGTGACGCGACTTTCTATCGCAAAAAATGTGGAAGTTAACGCGAAATTGAGCGCCCGGTATGCGTGGAACGAGGCCAAACGACTGCGATAGAAAGAGAAAGAGCAGGGGCTGATATGTCATTTTGACGAGCGATGCCTGTTGACAGGGGACAGGCCGCCATTTTGAAGTGGTATACAGGGCCGGTTCAATAAGGAATCATTGCTTGGGTGTCTCCTTTAGACTGTTGAAAATTTTCGGATAGTTTTTGTCATTATTCTGAACACATCTGGAACCGAGAATTGGCTAAGATTTAAAGGCCAAATTTGCCTTTAAAGGCTTGAAAAAGGCCTAAAAGTTACAGACGTCGTTAGATAAGCAAAAAATTTGAAAAATTAAACGGCTCGAATTTATGGAAGTTCGAGCGAAAACATTCGAATATGAATGAGAAAAATGAGTCGCACAGTCGTTGCAAGTCGCTTCGTCTCCCATGGCGACTGAAGAGTGACGACAAAGTGAGCAAAAGCGGATAAAGAAGCATTGCAAAAAATGGGACTAAAACTGGTCTTTGTGGCATTAGACTCAAGATGGCGACTGAATGAGTGGAACAAGGAACACCATAATCGAAGTGTCTGCGACAGTAAGAGAAAGCGCTCATTGAGTAGGTAGGTACCTACGCGGGGCAGAGTGAAGTGGACAAAAATATTGCCTTTCAACTGGTGTTTGGTGCAAGTTCAGCTGCCTTTGTGTTCGGGAGTTATGAAWTTTTCGGTCCAGCCATGTTTTCCTGAACCAGTTTGGTCGGGCGGTAAATTGAACAATTCGCCACAAATTGGGCAAKTTGGGGATTTTTACGAAACTTGCCAACAAGGTAGAGCAAAATATTTCATTTCAACTGCTATTTGGTGCAGGTTTAGCTGCCTTTGTCTTCGGGAGTTATGAATTTGTAAGTCCAGCCATGTTTTCCTAAATCAGTTTGGTCGGGAAGAAAATTTAAAAACTTGCGCCAACTCACGTAAATTGGGGATTTTCACGAAATTTGCCAGTAATGTCGAGCGAAACGTTCTCTTTCCAGTGATGCTTGGTGAACTTTTCGTTTGCTTTTGTGTCGGGACTTACGAATTTTTAAATCGAGCAGTGTTTTCCAAAGCCAGTTTGGTCGGACACGAAATTGAAAAATTTGCCACAAATTGGGCAATTGGGGGATTTTTACGAAACTTGCCAACAAGGTAGAGCAAAATATTTCCTTTCAACTGCTATTTGGTGCAGGTTTAGCTGCCTTTGTCTTCGGGAGTTATGAATTTTTAAGTCCAGCCGTGTTTTCCTGAACCAGTTTGGTCGGGCAGTAAATTGGAAAATTTGCGTCAACTCAGGCAAGTTAGGGATTTTCACGAAATTTGCCAGTAAAGTCGAGCGGAACGTTCTCTTTTTAGTGCTGCTTGGTGAACTTTTCGTTTGCTTTTGGGTCGGGATTTGAATTTATAAATCGAGCAGTGTTTTCCGGAGCCAGTTTGGTCGGACACAAAATTGAAAAATTCGCCACAAATTGGGCAATTGGGGGATTTTTGCGAAACTTGCCAACACGGTAGAGCAAAATATTTATATATGCATAGACTGCGATAGAAAGAGAAAGAGCAGGGGCTGATATGTCATTTTGACGAGCGATGCCTGTTGACAGGGCACAGGCCGCCATTTTAAAATTATATACAGGGCCGGTTCAATAAGGAGCCGGTTGCTCGGATCGGTCTCTTTTAGACTGTTGAAAAATTTCGGATATTTTTTTTTTAATATTCTGCAAACATCTGGATGGATTCAGACTAATAACTTTTCAGCCTGTCAAGTTTTTGAAACCAAATTTTCCTTTAAAGGCGTGAAAAAGGCCTAAAAGATACAGACGTCGTTAGACAAGCAAAAAATTTGAAAAATTAAACCTTTAAAGGGCAGGAACTTATGAGTGAATATGAATGAGAAAATGAGTTGCACAGTCGTTGCAAGTCACTTCGTCTCCCATGGCGACTGAAGAGTGACGACAAAGTGAGCAAAAGCGGATAAAGAGGCATTGCAAAAAATGGGACTGAAACTGTTCTTTGTGGCAGTAGACTCAAGGTGGCGACTGAATGAGTGGAACAAGGAACACCATAATCGAAGTGTCTGTGACAGTAAGAGAAAGCGCTCATTGAGTAGGTACCTACGCGGGGCAGAGTAAAGTGGACAATTTTGCATGCAAGCTGAACAAGGCAGGAGAACGAATGCGGCACACACACACACACATAGAAATTGATGTGACCATCGACTCACCTGCAGGAGAACGTCCTCGGCGGTGGTGTAGGGATGTCCAGGGAGCGCGTGATGCGGATGGGGAATTTTCGGGATCAGAGTGCCCGGATAGAGGCCGTGAGGGCCGGCGGCCGCTTGCTGAGCCAACAGCGACGGGAAGAAGCCGCCAGCGCCCGGTCCCGTGGGCGAAGTGTTGGAGGGCGAACTATTGTTGGCGGCCGTCAACAACGAGGAGACGCTGAAGTCCGTTTGGCGTGGCAACTGCAGGAACGGGTGGTACGCCATTTTTTTCACGGCTTCGGGTGCGTCCAGCGTACTTTCGAAACGCATCGGGACCAACGTTTAGCGGTAGAGCTGCTCCACCGCCTCTTTCCAACCATATAAGAAGTGAACGGGTGGCGGCGGTGCGGTGCTGCTATCTGCTGCTGCCTGCAAATTACAACACTTTTACTCACTCTTTTTCCATTTATTCTCATTTTGCGGAATTTTCGAGCGATTGATTAGTTGGCCAGTCGCTAACGCAGCTGCCCAGGGTTTTCTCTGTCGCACGCACAGCAGCCTGGCCGCGCGGTCGACGGCTACGTTCCAACTTGCTACGTGCGGCGCTTAAATTATTTGGGTTTCGAGTGAGGCAAAATTTGGAAATTCCGGTTTGGGACGAAACGCTGGTTTTAGGCCCATTTTGCGCACAAAAATCGGCAAGAAAATCTCCGGTCGATCCAGTGGACTTTCCAGTGCATTTTCGGTTTTTTAGGGGGCCGTCAACGAATTTGGTCCTGGCGTTTTCCTGGTGGTATAAGTAGCATGTTCAGTCGACAGCAACTTCTGAAGATGCCAACCGTGCCTGTTGGCGAAACGCCCGAACCAAATTACTACCGACGGCGCCTTTAAAGCCGAAAATTCGCCATTGTTGCGACTGTAGGTAACTTGAAAAATACGTTCTACCGCTTCTAGGAGGATTTTCGGGTGTTTGCCTCATAGTTTTTGCGCGATTTTTTGATGAGAATGTTTTTAGGGAGATGGAAGACGAGTTTCCAGTATTAAACCCAGCAGGCACAGGCGGTTTTGTAAATACTTTGTATAAATGAGACTTTCTTGACAAATAGCCAAACTGCACACGAACAAACCGCGATTTTCCAGCCCTTTCGGCCACTAATTCCAACAAAAGGAACATCAAGTAAATGAGACTAAAACATGGGAATTTAGTGCGGTTTTGGCTTACGCCTTAGTCGGGAAGGCGCGTTTGCCGGCCGACGGAACGTCCACAACAGCAGGAAAAACCGTCAATTTTGGTCACTTTTTCGACGTTTTTCCGCCCTGGAATATCGGGAGCGATTTATTTGCAAATCAAACAAATCGGGCGATTGAATCAGCGGCTGGAAACAACCGAAAAACGTGGCCAAAGCGATTGTTTCGGCGACAAATTTGGGGTTAAATGGATGAATGCCACTGATGATTAATTAGACTTGCTTTGTTTGTCTTGTGTTGGAATTAACCGGGATTGGAACAGTCAGATTGACAAAGTCTGTAAGGTGATTTTTTTTATTTTGAATTTTTCCCAGGCCATCTTTGCTGAGGCGCAAGGAAATCAGCAAGTTTTCGGGTTTTTTCGCGAATTAAGGCCCTTTGCCCAACTGGTCTAAAACGTTTGCTAAATAAAGTGCACACAGTTTTCTAAGTGGATTTTTTTGCTAATCGGCGTGAGTATTTTGTTTTTGGTCGGCTCAGATTGCCTGATTTGATTCGCGTTGAACTTGTTTTCAGCGCAAGAGCGAAAGACGCAAGTTGGTGCCTTGATGGGAGTGAATTTCGGGGATTTTGAGCGCGTTCAAATGAGTGAAAACCTTTTGATCAAAAACGATTTTTCGGTAGTTTAGAGGGTGAAATGGTGGTGAACTTACACTGTGAATCGGTGGAACGCCAACGTTGCTTTATCACAGTCACAGTCACAGAGCACGGTAAAATTAGGGAAAAAGTGGCACTTGGTCGGTCACATTCACAGTTCCAGAGGATCTCGTGGAGTCGCGTCGCGCGTCCGATCAGAGCCAATCACAGTGAATAAACAGCCCAAAAGGAGGCTGAAAACGGGCAGAGATCCGCGCGCGGAACTTCGCACCTAAACCGTATAACGAACAACGGAGAACTATAGCGTAGAACCCGCAAAGCCAACACTTTGCGGCGTTAATGATCCCGACGCTTCGCGATTGGTCAGCGATTTGACACCGACGCACGATGGCCAATAGCCGGGCGACAATTTCCCCCACTCTTTTCACACGTTCGGTGGGTTGGTGCGTCGCAGTTAGGCCTTAGAGGGCGCGGTTTGCGACGCCTTCGACTCTGTGTCTCTGTCTGATGCGGCCGGGGACATTTTTGGTCTTTTCGATGGTGTCTGGAAAGAAAATAGAAGGGTTCAAGGGGGTGGCTGGGGTTTGGGGTGGCTGCCAGGCCGGTGGTGGGGCGGCGCGGGGGGCGGCGGCAGGTAAGGTGTGCGCCGGACGGCTCGAGGTGGTGGCTCGGAAATTTTTCCGGTTTCCGTTTCCGACGGCTGTCGAATTGCGCCCTGTTTTCTTCAACTTTTTCCAGTCATGGTCAGCAGTGAGTAGCGACAACAGCAAAGCATGATTTTCCACAGTTTCCTCGTTTTTCCACCTTTTCCCCAGGTCGACTGAGACCTAATTTTTGTGCAGAAGTCGCCTTCAATCGGCAGAAAGTCATCGATTACGGGCCGACTGAGCAGTTGGTGGAGAGGCAAAAAGTCGATTCGAAGACACACGTACGCCCCTGAATAAGTAATTCATTCCTCGTCTTGCCCCTGGTTTGGCAAGCCAACAAAAACCCAATCAATATTCGGGGCACATGTGTTCGACTTGTTAACGCTATTTGACTTGACGTATTTATTTTTAATCATATCTAGTCGGTTGGCCCTGTTTTTGCGAGAAACCGCGCTCTAATCTCCCCAGAAAATCTAGTGGATTTTGAGCTTTTTTCCAGCAAAACTGGTGCATAGAAAATCGCCTTTTCAGCCTCCAAAAGACACTCTTTGCAGGACTTTTGCTAATCAAATTGTGGTTAAAATACAACGGTGCTTAACCCTAATAGCTGAAATAGCATCAAGATGGTCGCAGATGTTTCCTAATAGAGATTCAGTGTGTCAAAATTTGAAAAGGCACATTTTCCTCTAATTATCTTAGGTTCAACTTGAGTGGCGCGTTAACTGCACACTTTTCTGCTGCCACCTGTAACGGCACTCGATATTTCAAAGTACCGAAAATGTTTTCAAGTTTTCCGGGCATTTCCAAGAAAAAAACTGCTCTTGCACAATTTTTGATTTGAGCACTCATTTCTGAGACTTTCAAGGTTGAGTCAGTTACGCTTTCGCTTGCATTAAAATTTTATTTAAAAAAATCAGGTCTTGGATGTCAATGCAAATTAAACAATTACATGCATTGTAAAAACTGATGATACTATTTTATTGTCAATGAGAAAGATCTTAGAATATGAAATTAAACTCGTTAAATATCAGCATTTTTTAGTTCTTTTTGCAATCGAGTTTATCGCCAGTCCGTTTTGGATCATTCCAGTTAATTATCAGGGCAAATGTAGCACCTTGAACGCTTTCTCCTTGAAAAATTCATAATTTCGAATTTATACCAAAGAGCAACTTGAAAGTTTCACAGTTTGCAGAGTACATTTCAGCCTTAAACTTCTGAGAATTTCACTGAAATCGCCCCAATTGCTGATTTTTGCTGACTTGGAAAAGTCTGTTCTGAAATTGGCGTTTTCGCGCAAATGTGCTTTATTCTAGAAAAATTAATAATTTCGAACATCGGCCGAGAAGCAGGTTGAAAGTTTCACAGTTTCGAGAAGACAGTTCAGTCTCAAAGTGGCAAAAGTTTCCCTGATATCGCCCCAATTCCTGATTTTTGCGGACTCGAAAAGTTGGTACTAAAATTGACGTTTACGCGCAAATGTGTTTTCTTCTTGAATAATTCATAATTGCGAATTTATACCAAAGAGCAACTTGAAAGTTTGACAGTTTGTAGAGTACATTTCAGCCTCAAAGTTCTGAGAATTTCACTGAAATCACCTGAATTTCTGATTTTTGCTGACTTGGAAAAGTTTGTTCTGAAATTGGCGTTTTCGCGGAAATGTGCTTTTGTTTTGAAAAATTCATAATTTCGAAACTTGCTTAAGAAGCAGCTTGAAAGTTTCGCAGTTTCCAGAGGATAGTTCAGTCTCAAAGTCCTAAAAGTTTCACTGAAATCGCCCCAATTCCTGATTTTTGCGGACTAGGAAAATTTTGTCCTGAAATTGGCGTTTACGCGCAAATGTGTTTTCTCCTTAAAAAATCCATAACGTCGAATTTATATCAAACAGCAACTTGAACGTTTCACAGCTTGCAGAGAACATTTCAGTCCCAAAGTT